GACAACTCCGCTTCACCATGCGATTGAAAATAAGAAAATAGAAATTGCTGAATTACTTTTAAATCATGGAGCTAACGTTAATGCCAGTGATAAGTTAGGTATACCTCTATAATACACTTGAGAATTTATATATATAAATTTGTGAACATTTTTTAAAACATGGAGTTTATGTTAATTTTACATATATATCTACATTTACACCAGGTGTTACACCACTATGTCTTGCTGCTAAAAAAGGACATGAACAATTTGTTAAGATGTTTCTTGATAGAGGTGCTAACGTTAATGCTGAAACTTGGTGGTCGGACAAAACTCCGCTTCACTATGCGATTGAATATGAGAAAATGGAAATTGCTGAATTACTATTAAATCATGGAGCTAACGTTAATGCCAGTGATAAGTCAGGTAAAACTTCAAATTGCAGCTGAGAAAAGATATTTACAGATTGATGAACATCTTTTTAAACATTAATTTGAGTTAATTTTACATATATCTCTTCCTTTTCAGGTATTACACCACTGTGTGCCGCTGTTCAAAATGGACATGTAGATGGTGTTAAGATGCTTTTGGACAGAGGTGCTAATGTTAATGCTGAAACTCGGGATGGCACAACTCCGCTTCATGAAGCGATTCAATTTGTGAATACGGAAATTGCTGAATTACTATTAAATCATGGAGCTAACGTTAATGCCAGTGATAAGTCAGGTAGAACTTTAAATTGCAGCTGAGAAAAGATATTTACAGATTGATGAACATCTTTTTGAACATTAATTTGAGTTACTTTTACATATATCTCTTCTTTTTCAGGTATTACACCACTGTATCNCACTGTTCGAAAAAGACATGCAAGTGTTGTTCAGATGCTTTTGGACAGAGGTGCAAATGTTAATGCTGGAACTCGGGATGGCANAACTCCGCTTCATGAAGCGATTCAATTTGTGAATACGGAAAGTGCTGAATTACTATTAAATCATGGAGCTAACGTTAATGCCAGTGATAAATCAGGTAGAACTTTAAATTGCAGCTAAGAAAAGATATTTACAAATTGATGAACATTTTTTAAAACATGGAGTTTTATCTTAATGCGACATATATCTCTTTACACCAGGTTTTACACCACTGTGTTTTGCTGTTCAAAAAAGCCATGTACAAGTTGTTGCGATGTTGTTAGACAGAGGTGCTAACATTAATGCTATATCAAATAATGATACTTGTCGTCGCATCTATTGTAAAAAAATTGCTGAGTTTCTTACACAGCATATAGTTAAGATAAAAGCTGCAAATTTATCCGTAAGTGAACAATTATTATCAATGAGCAGGAATTATGAAATAAGTGATTTTCAGGATAAATGTGAAAAAGAAGTAGCAGTCATGAAGAATGAGAAAGTTAGTAATACTAACATATCATTTTACGATATCTTGATAAAAGATACAAATCTAGTAGCAATGTATATGAGAAATGAAAATGTAGTGCAGGTTTTAAGATTAGACGAGTATAAAACAAAATTTTCAACATATTCTAGCATGATAAAAAATCAGTTCAGAAATGGTATGAAAAAGAAAGAGTTGCTCGAACAAGGCACTAAAATTTTCTATTTTTTCTGTAACTTTCCTGAGTTACCACTTGGTTGTATTGAACAAATATTTAGTTACCTAAGTGATAATGACATAAAAATTTTAATAGATACTTGTAAGTCTGTTAGTGTCAGTAATCTTAATACTGATATTAATGATGTAGAAATTACTTCAAATACATGACTTTCGTTCATCGTTTGATCTTGACTTTGGATATGAAGTCAAACTTTATACAACTACTATGGACTTCTAATGTAAGATCTATCATTTTTTCTTCAATTTTCTTGTAATTTTGCGAACCTTGTAATATGACGTGATTATTTATATTTATTTTTATATTTACATTTATATTTATATTTATACACTGAAGAAGGCTCAAGTAAGGGCCGAAACGTTTGTCATCTCTTAATTTTATTTGTTTTTCATTTGCGTTTTACTGCGTTTTATATGCTTTTTGTTTAACTAAACTTAAGATCCATTAAAAGCTCGAAACAGACTTGTTATATTTTTCTATACTTACTTACTTATTGTTAAATGGATTAGATGAATAGCTTTTCGCGGGTGACAAATAGGAGCAGAGCGTGCATAGCACCGATGTTGTCAGAGAAGGCAATGTTGGCCACGTCATACGGGGGGCTAAAACCGTTATGGAAGAGATCTAAAGCTAAAAGGTCAGAAGAATCTTTATGTAAGGGGCAGTTAAAAAATATATGATTGACGTCTTGTGTTGGGAAACCACAGTCACACGAAGCGCTGTCAGTTATGGATTTATCTGCAAGATGTGCATTAACGCAGGTATGAAACGTTCTGATGCGTGATATAAGAGACACCAAGGGCCTGGGTAGGGGTCGCCTGTACCTCTCATACCAGGGCCTGTCGAGTACGACTTGTTTCCGGGAAAAATACCTTACTCCCTTATGTCTTGCTTCCTCCAGCAAATAGTTTTTTGCCTCCGTTAAAGAACGAGCTCTAAGTTCGGGGACAAGAGAACCTGCCGGACACTTTGCGGAGACCCCCGGGTCGGGTAATTCAAGTGATTTTTTTGCGTACAGATCCGCCTTTTCATTACCCAGGATGCCCTTATGTGCAGGGATCCAGACAAACTGAACCTGCACACTTTGGGCAGCAAGCGCGCAAACTAGAGATTTCATCTTGTAGATTATAGTGGAGTGAGTGCCTCTGGGATCCGAGGATGCCAGGCAGTCAAGAACACTAAGTGAATCTGTAGCAATAAATGAGAGATTGAACCTGAATTCACTGATTTACTCAAGGGCACAGAGGGCGGCCTGTGCCTCAGCATCGAACACAGTAGAATGGTTGTTTATTCTTTCATAATGAGCAAGCTCAGGGTGATCAGAATAGACTGCATACCCTACCGCTGCAACTCGGTCGCACCGGGATGGGAGTTTAGAGCCATCAGTATAAAAGACGTGTTCAGCACCGACTTTGTTAAGAAATTTGGACCACTCAAGGTGAGGTGAGGGGGCGGACCTGATCGTTAGTCCGATATCCAAGTCAACGGAACATTTGTAATATCGTATGAAGAACGGAAAGGACAGTAGACCAGGTAGCGCACTGGACTCAACCTGCTGTGCCAGGGGCGAGATTTCTTTGAACACATCAAATAAATCAAAGTTGTTATCCTCGCAAATCGGGCTCCACTGACGTATGAACCCACCGAGCATCGTATTCAACTGATGTCCCGAACGTGAAGCTACCCGATTAGCATACTTGCTGGTCAGGTATCTTTGTCTACATGAAAGAGGTTGTTCGTTAACTAAGTCGACTAGGACGTTAGTGGGTGTCGTACGCATTAAACCAGCCGCTACGCGAATGCAAGCGAACTGAAGTCTGCTGAGTGTTAGACAATCTTTTTGTTGTAGAGGTAACACAACCTGGCACCCCCAGTCGAGGACTGAGCGTACCAGTCCCCTATACGCCACTAAAAGAACTCTGGGGTGGGCACCCCACTTTATCCCCGCAATGGCTTTAAGTATGTTAATACGTGGAAGCACGCGTTTGCGGGTCTCGGTTATGTGCCTCCTCCACCGTAGGGAGTAGTCTATATACACACCTAAAAACTTGACACACCAAGCTACTTGTATGCCGAAGCCATTTAGAGAGATCTTAATGTTGTTTTTATTGATCATCCACTTGGTGTTTCTCAAAGAGTTGAGAGAATAGAAAGAAGCGACGGACTTTTCCGGAGATAACTTTAGGCCTAGATCTTTGAGATGAGAGTTGAGATTACCAAGGGAAATATTAAGTTGGTGTGCTACATACTTGATTGAAGGGTGAAAGCAATATATGACGATATCATCGGCGTACATTAGGATTTTTACCGGGAGTGGTAAACACATTTCCACGAACGACAGATAAATATTGAAGAGTATTGGGCTGAGGACGGAGCCCTGGGGCACTCCTCTTGTTGTCTGTCGACTTTGAAGGGGAATGCCAGAGATATAGCCGTCTAGGTTCCTGGTCGAGATTACCGATGAGATAAAACTAATTAACTTTTCGGGAAACCCTAACCGGGAAAGCATTGAAAGCAACACCGAAGGAATCACATTATCAAAGGCGCCTTCGATGTCAAGGAAAACCGCGCCTGTGACCTGGCGGTTATTATTTCCTGCTTTAATGTTTGATACAAAAATGGAAAGATTATCGATACACGACAGACTTTAGACTCCGTCTAAAGCCGAATTGAAATGGAGAGATTATATTGTTATTCTCTATCCACCATTCCATTCTACGTTGAATAATCTTTTCTAACAGCTTAAGAAGGTTATTGGCGAGAGAGATGGGGCGATAAGATCCTTTCTTTCCCGGTTTAGGGATAAAAACGACAAAATAATTTTTCCATTGTTCAGGAAACGTTTGTTTGTCCAGCATTATGTTAAATAGCTTGTGGACAATTAGATGAAGTTCATTAGGGAAATGTGAAATGACATTATTGGAAATCATATCTGGACCAGGTGCGGATTTGATCTTTAAAGACTCGACCTCCGAGAGGTATTCCACGTCCCTAATGGGAGACTCGAGAACAGAACTGTCTACTGTACTCTCCAACCTAGGGATACTATAAGGTAAGTCTGAATGGAAATTTGTAATGGGTGGTTAGAGAGGAGCGATTTTATCGAATGATTTATGGAAACCTTCGATGTCAATGTTGCTTTTATTGCTGTCCCCGCGTGAATAATTTCTGGAGTGCGAAAAGGCTTTAACTGTGTTCCATACAGAACCAATGTCCGAATGAACATGGAGTGAACCACAAAACGCCTTAAACGCGTTTTTTTTCTTTTTGCGGAGAAAGCGAGTAACCTCCTTTGAGATTTCAGTATACACAGATAGGTTCTGAAGGCAGGGATGCCTTTTAAAAGAAGTAAATGCCTCTCTTTTCCTTTTAACTTCCTGGGAGCATGACTCATCCCACCAGGGTCGGGGGCTTCCGAGAGGGATTAGCTGACGAGATGACCTTAGCGCCGGAGTTCTCGAGGGCAGCAACAATTGACCGGATAAGATGATCATACGTTTTTTCTACGCTTCCCAGCAAACACAAAGTAACAGTAACGTAACATTAATGTTATAATTTCCCACTCAACGATGTAACTGCAATGTAACATGCCTTGTACGTAGCAGTTACATTGTTGAGTGGGAAATTATAACATTAATGTTACGTAACTGTTACTTTGTGTTTGCTGGGTTATAACGGAGACCGGCCTATCAACTTCAGGTGCAAGAGTTTGTGCACTATCCACACAAGCCCGACGGAAGAGATCCCAATCTACGTTCTTGACAGATATAAACGGGCGGCAAGGTATAGTGCCGTCAAACCTATCACATATTGCGATGTAAACAGGAAAGTGGTCACTGCCGTGGTTAAAGTCGTTCACATACCACCTGCAGTCAAGAGCTAAGCTCTGGGAGACAAGTGTGAGATCCAGGGTGGACTGTATCGAAAGTTCAGACGATGTCCACGTACGTTCTCCGGTATTTAAGATATTCCAGCTTGAGTTAACAATTGCCTGGTCGAGTTTTTTCCCTTCATTGTTATATTGCGTGGGGGAGTTGCTCCACAACGGGCTTTTCCCATTGAAGTCACCGCAAATTATGGATGGCTCATACTTCGAGCAGATTTGGAGAAATGAAGTCCAGAAATTAACATCGGTGTAATTGCGAGACCACCGAGGAGGGCTATAAACAGAGAAAATATGTAAGAATTTGCTATTAGGCAGGTGTGCTTTGATTGCAATTATTTCAACTTGGTTGTTTTGGCAAATATCTATAATATCATTGTCACGTAATAGTTGGAATTTGATGTGCTTTGCAACTACAATTGCTACTCCTCCACCTTGACGGTTTCGGTCGATCAAAACAATTTCATGGTTTGGGAAGGTAACTAATGACCTATGGTCTAGATGAGTTTCGCAAAGGGCCGCAATTTGAACATTACCCTCTTGAATTAAATGCTTGAATATATCTAACCTGCGAGGCAAGGAACGGCAGTTCCATTGCATAATGTTCAAGCTTTTCGTAGGAGCCATCTTTTTCGTACGACAACCACACAACGAGAACAGATAAGGGCAAGAAGGATTTAGGTTATAAAGACACAATCAGCGTAACTTTATGAATTACAGAATAACAGAATTAGTAATTGTTTCTACAGCTAGTTTTAAGACTGTTTCAAGCTCTGAGTCAGAAAGGTTGATAATTTGTTTACTCATGAGAGTATTGCGGAGGTGTGGTATTAGATTTTTTAATGGAAGAGAAGGTGTTTCTATACTTCTAGAAGAATCTCTGAAATTTGTATGAATTCCGGAGTGTGGTTTACTTTTGCTTTTTGTGTCTTTATTACCGGTAGGATTTGTGGCTGAGGACCCACAAAGTGTACCACAAGAAGTACCTAAAGACAAGGAGTGAGCGGGCGTCGCAGACTCCGAGTGAGTCACCAGCCCCTTGCGCACAACTGACCGAGCAGCCGTGGTAGCTAACACAGCATTGCTGGGAGGCGGTGCCCCACTGTCAGCCCCTCGACGGTCGGGCGGACGATCAAGATCCGGCCCACGCCCATCTCCCCCTGGCCCTGACGAAGCAGTAAACTTGAAAACCTCACCTGGAATGTACTCGCCGAAAGTCGGCAGAGGAACTGACGGGGTCTTGTTCCAAGCGGTGACAGACCCACCTCCTCTATCGAAGAGCACGGACGCCTCTTTAAACGAAAGGTCCTTTGTCGCCATCAACTTGTGTATATCTCTTTGCCTTACATAAGCGTGACACTTTGAGTCAGAGGCTTGATGTTTGTAATCCTTGTGTTTAATTCTAATGCAATTAATGCATTCAAATACGTCACTTAAGCAGTCTGACTTGGAGTGTCCTGATTTTCCGCAGCGTTCGCAGAACTGTTTATCAGAAGAAGTTTGTTTGCACAAGGAAGCTGTATGTCCTAGGCGCTGACAGAAACTGCAGCGCCGGACCTTATATACATATGGGTGTAGG